AGGCCTGGTGTGACACCTGTGAAAAGTACCAGCGCACGGTGAGTGGCTGTGGCACTGGGCTTGAGTCCTGCCATGCTGGGGACTCTGCCCTGGCTTCATCTGGGGCTCCTCTGTCAGCACTGCCTCCAGGGGCCTCCAGGGAATGGGAAGGACCCCAGTGAGAGTGTACAGATCTGGGTTCTGCTGTCCTTTACAGGTTTCTTTCCCTGTAGGCTCTCTGCCATTCCTTATTTATCTTCTCAGATTCAGACCCGCAACATCCGCCATCTGCCAGATATCCTTGTCATCAACTGTGAGGTGAACAGCTCGAAAGAAGCAGACTTCTGGAGAATGCAGGCTGAAGTAAGGACTGGGACTGGAAATAGGGCTTTAAGAGTAATTTTTGGTTTCCTCTTCCTGCTGACCTCCATATGTGATTGATTTTCTTGAGGAGTTGGGTATTTTCTCCTCTGTGTTCAGGTTGCCTTCAAGATGGCAGTGAAGCAACGTGGTGGGGAAACCTCTACAAACAAGGAATTTGCTCTGGCTGATTGGTAGGTACTTCTCGGGAACTGCTTACTGGCTCCTCTTGTCACTGGCTAGATTTCCTCAGAACAGATTTCTGATTTTCCTGTTCTGGTAGGAAGGAACTAGGGCATCCAGAGGGCGTGCTGATGTGTCCCTCCATTGAGGAGTTGAAGAATGTCTGGCTTCCTTTCTCCATTCGCATGAAGATGAGCAAGAGCAAAGGGCTGGATGTTTGCAATTGGACTGATGGGGATGAGATGCAGGTTGTTGAAAAACTGGAAAGAGGGTGGGGTAATCAGGGAGAGAAGGTTGGGGCAGAAGCAGAGCTAGGAGGAAGGTGGAATTTAGTAAAGGAAAAAGAAAGGAAATTAAGGCCTACTATTTACCAGTTGAGGGCTTTCCCAGAGTAACTCAGTGTTGAAAGTCATAGATGGGCGAGGATGGAGGTAACCCACCCTGGCTTCCCATCCCTGTACCCCAAGCTCTCTGTCCTCTGTCCCCATTCTCCCTCCTTCCCTACCCTTAAACTTAGCAGCCTGGTACTCCCTCACAGTGGGGCCCAGCCAGGGCAGAGGAGCAGCATGGTGTCTATGTGTATGACCTGATGGCTACTGTAGTACACATCCTGGACTCACGCACAGGGGGCAGCCTGGTGGCTCACATCAAAGTTGGAGAGACCTACCACCAGTGCAAGGAGGTGAGTGGAGTCACACAGGGCAGGGACATTCCTGGAGGTGGCTACAATAGAGTCTCTGATCTGTCCGTATCGTGAGTCTGAACCAGAGTGGCCCAGCCATCATCTTGGCATCAGCCTTTCTCTGTATCTCTCCACAGGGTGTTACCCACCAGCAGTGGTATCTCTTCAATGATTTTCTTATTGAACCTATTGATAAGGTTAGTCATGATACATACCATTCCCCCTTCTCCCTTTCCCTGGTATCCTCATCTTTAGTGCCCTAGAGAATGCCAGGCAGATTCAGGAGAGAGGGATGGGTCTTCAAGAATAAAATGCATTAGCAGGGCTAAAAATAGCAGCTGAGTCCTGTCTTCTGTCTGCCTTGGGAAAGAGGAGAAAGGGCATATACATAGGCCAATTAAGTGCTTTTTCTTTCATAGCATGAAGCTGTGCAGTTTGACATGAACTGGAAAGTGCCTGCTATCCTTTATTACATCAAAAGGAATCTTAATTCCAAATACAATCTGAACAGTAAGTGGTACAGAGTTGGCCTAAGAGTATGCACAGTTTAGGTTGGTTTTCAAGAAGATATCTAGGAAAAAATCTCAGTGATTAGGATCAGTAACCAGTATCAATATTTCCAGGGATACTAGAGATTCCTGCTTATCAGGCCTTAACATTCAGAAGCTGGAGATACTGAGGGTGTAGCAGGGAGGAGGTGATGAGGGAGCTGATCCGAATGGCATAGGTTATGCTTTTAAATCTAATCATTCTTATCCTCAAGTAAAGATCTCTTTGTGGAGATGAACTCCTTAAGTACCTTTTTGGTGCATTTAAGCCATAGTTTCTCTGGAACTTTATTTTTCTGATATTTTAAGCTAAAGTGTGAAATGAAAATCTTATTCTTCCTTCTATTGACTTTTGTTTTTTCTTAGCATGTTTCTTGATAATTTTTGTGACTTGACCTGTTCTATCTATTCTAGTCATCAGATAGGATCTTACTTACATGCTTTGATTATCGAGGGATCACAGTGTAGATCTGCTCTCTGGTCGGCCATCCTTGGCTCCCCTCCCCTCCACACTCCCCATCCCCAGCCATCTGTCTTCTGGATTCTCTATTCCAGTCAAGAACCCCATTGAGGCAAGTGTCCTGCTGGCTGAAGCCTCTCTAGCACGGAAGCAACGGAAGACACATACCACCTTTATTCCTTTGATGCTGAATGAGATGCCACAGCTTGGGGACCTGGTGGGCCTGGATGCTGAGTTTGTCACCCTTAATGAGGTAATTAAGACCAAAAGGTGGGGTGTTGGAACATAACTCTTGAGATACTAAGAGTCCTAAGCATTTCTCTGATTTCCTTATTAACTCTTCTCACATAGGAGGAAGCAGAGTTACGCAGTGATGGCACAAAGTCTACCATCAAACCAAGCCAGATGTCAGTAGCAAGGATCACATGTGTTCGGGGCCAGGGACCTAATGAGGGTATTCCCTTCATTGATGACTACATCTCTACCCAGGAGCAGGTATTGGGCTATGGAGGTATAAGTGAGACAGACCCCATGCCTATGTAGAGCACTCTGGAACCCACAAAGGAGAGGTAGGGGCAACTCTGCACCTCACTTCCTGAGCAGCTTTTCCTTTCTCTGTCCCTAGGTAGTGGATTACTTGACTCAGTACTCAGGGATAAAGCCAGGAGATCTCGATGCCAAGATCTCCTCTAAGCACCTCACGACTCTCAAGTCTACCTACCTAAAGCTTCGTTTTCTTATAGACATTGGAGTCAAGTTTGTGGGCCATGGTCTGCAGAAGGACTTCCGGGTCATCAACCTCATGGTTCGAGCAGGGCTCTTCTCAGAGTTCTTTGAACATGGGTCCCTCAGGGGTACACTGTGCTTTTGGGGAATGGGAAATCTTTGTTCCCGCACTCTCAGCCTTCCACTCTTTTATTCCTGTCAGGTACCCAAGGACCAAGTCCTTGACACGGTCTATCTGTTTCACATGCCCCGAAAACGAATGATTTCCCTACGATTCCTTGCTTGGTACTTTCTGGGTAAGTTGCTCTGCCATGTAGGCTCTTGTTCTCATTAAGAGTAGGAGAAAGTGTTGCATAGACCAGGAGTAATAAGGAAGACCCTGAGTTAGTGGTAAGTGTTACTAGGGAACTTAATTAGCTTCAGTACCCTTCACTGCACCAGGGATGGTGTTTGACTCTTTCCTGTAAGGGCAGTCAGGTTTTTTATTGTTGTTTATTGGAAGCTGGGGATGAGAGTAGGGGATGTGTTCTTCCCTCCCTTTGCTAGGTCCCAAATTATTCCATCTCTACTTCCCACAGACCTGAAGATTCAAGGGGAGACCCATGACAGTATTGAGGATGCCCGCACAGCCCTTCAACTCTACCGAAAATATCTAGAACTCAGCAAAAATGGCACTGAACCTGAGTCCTTCCACAAAGTGCTCAAGGGTCTTTATGAGAAGGGCCGAAAGATGGACTGGAAGGTGCCTGAGCCAGAGGGCCAGACAAGTCCCAAGAGTAAGGCTGGGATGGGACAAGGGAAAATGGCCTGAGTGCGCTTTGACTGCATATGTGAGCATTATATCCACCCTAATAATGACGATGATGATGTTTACATTTGTAAAGCACTTAACAGTTGACAAGGCACTTAATCCTCCTAACATTCAGTGAAACATATTATATTATTGAAATTATCCATTGGTCCTAGCCTCCTCTTGCCAATTCTAAAATATCTAGGGCCGGTCCATGACCTCTTTTCTCTTGCATTTTTCCTTCATAAGTATCCCAGGTGCTTTTTCTGTTCACCTAAGAGTCAGTGCCATTGGTTTTGTCTCTGACAGATGCAGCTGTCTTCTCCTCAGTGCTGGCGCTCTGACCCCACCATATCCCAACAGCTACTCCCTCTCCCTTCAGTGTTCTGCAGCCCCAGAACTGGGGGATGGCTTCCCAGGTTGGCTATATGCTGTCCACTTCCAGAATTGGACCTGCTCAGGGTCTACAGATGGTGCTCTTAATAGAACTGGAATGCAGCAGAATTGTTGCAAAAGGTCTAGGAGCCAGATTCCTTTTTCATCCTTTGCAAAATAGTGGGCCAGAAACAGAGTCTAGAATTAACCCAGATGGAAAGTAATTGGTATTCCCTTAATAAATATCCTGGGTAATTAATATCAAGGTAAAAAGCCCCTGGAATCAGAATTCTCAGTTCCTAAGTTGGTTAAAGACTGAAGTCCTGGACAATGATAGGATATAACAGCTCAAGACTTAGCTCAAGTCTCTGAATGCTGGAGGGATGCCTGGTCAGACCAGCAGGTAGAGTCTTGGTGGCCTAGCACACCAGTGTTGCCAATACCATCACTGCCAAAAGGGCCTTTGGGTCCTAGACAAAGCTTGGCTGCTGGCTTCATTCTGGCTGACAGCTGAGAAGCATCTGTCTTCCATCCACTTTCCTGTCCCAACTTTTGTTATTTTTTCAAAATTTGTTTTAAACTGCATGTTTTATAAAATAAAAACAAAAATATCCTTGGCTGTCGTCTGTCTCATTGGAGATCAGCGAGTGTGGGGTTCTCTGATTTTAGCCCTCTTTTCCTCTCTTTGTGTTAGCTTTATATTACAACTGAATAAACCCTGCGGCTTTCAAATTCCCACCCGGAAATGAAGGTAAAGCTCTGGAGTCCAAAGTTAAGGGTATTGGAGGAGTATAATTGTGTCTTTCCTGTCCAATATTAGGTCTTTGCTGTGGCTGCCTAGTACCGTAAAGTGGGATTCTCTGAGAACGCGCAGTTCGGTTTTCTTGTCTGTCAAAGGGAACTTGAGGAAGGCTGACGAACTACAGGCCCCAGGCCACCTTAAAGACCTGCAGGGCTAACAAAGGAGCGGCGGTGCTGCGGAGCTCCCTGGGAGGTGTAGTTCCTTGCGCGTTGCAACCGCGGCTGCTACCTCTCCGGAGGCGCGCCGTTCTATCTGAAGGTCCCCAGACAGCCACGCGCGCTCCCGGCGCCCCGTACCCGACTCCGTCCTGCGGCTGACCCGGCGGTCACGTGGAGCCACTTACCACGCAAGTTGGGGTCCTCCCGGCCAGGGAGCCAGCCCTAAAATGTCTGTTCGCGTGAGACCTCGGTGCGGCGGGTCAGGGTCGCTCTCCGCGTCGGGCTTGCTCCGCTGCGCGTCGGTGCCCGACTTGGGCGCCCGCTGAGAGTGCGGAGTCGAGTCAGGCGGCCGCCGAGGCACCAGGGTGTGGGACGCGCCGGCGCGCTCTGGAGAGCCTCGGCAGCCCAGCTCCCCCGCAGCCGGGTGCTTGGGTCGGGGTCCGAGTGAGGCCGACGGTTTTCAGCGCCTGGGCCACGGCGGCGGCCCTGGGAGCAGAGGTGGGAGAGATGCGGGTGGCGTTGCGGGTCGGGGATGGACTGGGGCAAAGCCGATGACGGGGCGCGGAGACGGGGGCTGTTCCCACGAGTAGGAGCTCGTAGGCTGAGGGGGGCGCAGTGATCTCGGGAGCTGGGTCTGACTAGGCCCTAGTTAGCGAGTACTTTCATCGCCGCCAGCCATCTCGCTGCCTCTGCGCCTCAGCTGCCCTCCTTCCGGCAGCGCCTCTGCCTGTCGTCCTGCTGCACCGCAAGCCTCCGGTCCGTAGCTGCCACATACTCCTGTGAGCCGTAGGCGGCCGCCACTCACGCGTCTAGGCCCTCCGCTGGCGACGTAGTGTCAGGGCTGAGCCCCAAGCCGTGAGCTCGCGCTCTCACCCATCGCTCGGGGAATCGAGTCCTTACGCGCCAGAACAGAGGATTCCATTGTGTGCTGGCCATTTCCTGGAAAGTAGAGGCAGAGTCACACTACGGCGTTTGTAGGCCTTGGGAAGAGGGGCGGTGGGGGAGAGAAATGGAGCCTACTTTAACCTCTGCTTTACTCCAATCCACACCCAGGTGGAGCAACCCCATTACGCTAAAGATGAAAGGCTGGGGTTGGCTGGCTCTGCTTCTGGGGGCCCTGCTGGGAACTGTCTGGGCTGGAAGGAGCCAGGATCTACACTGTGGAGGTAAAGGCACAAAGTGAAGACATGGGAGGAAGTGGGTGGGGAAGACAGAGCCTTGGTAAAGCATGAGGACCAAGGCCTGGGAGAAGGATGATTGGAAATCCCTGGATTGATTCCTTTCTCCCCCTTCCTGCTTTCCTCCCCTTGCACCAGCTTGCAGGGCTCTGGTGGATGAACTAGAGTGGGAAATTGCCCAGGTGGATCCCAAGAAGACCATTCAGATGGGCTCTTTCCGAATCAATCCAGATGGCAGCCAGTCAGTGGTGGAGGTAACAGTTACTGCTCCCCTAAATAAAGTAGCCCGCTCTGACTTTGAGTGAGAACTCAGCTAATTACGATGGACCTTGGTTTAATAGAAATGAAGAAAACATTAACCCAGCCTAAAAGATTGGGCTGTCTCATGAGAGGCTGGGGACATACACCCTATGCATTTGCTTCCCGGATTCAAATCCTAATGCTTAATCCAGCTGTAGGAATTCTTGGCAGACAGGAAGCCCTGATCAGCCTCGTTCTCCACGTCTGTAGTCCACGTGACTCATATTTTTACTATGGCAGTATGGCATAATGTACAAAACATTCATCCAAAAAAGAAATGGAAGGTTTTATCTTCGTATTTAGGAAATTTTAGTTGAGTGTGTAACACACATGGACACAAAGCTGTACCTAGTGAGCAGTATATAAAGAAAAGTTAAGGTTTTGTTGTTGGTGAAGTGCTTACACTAGTCCTCCAAGCCTATGCTATCTTTCTAATGCTATCCTGTCAGGGCATGTATTATTCTCATTTAATATAAAGAAAATCATTACCTTAGCTTGATAAGAATTACAAAAATTCAAAGGGAAGAGTTAACCATTGGGTAGGGTTTATCAGAGAGGTCTCTCTAATTTGGAGCTGATGACAACTGTTAAGATTGTATAATGAGGTAAAATAAGATCTATCTGAAAGCACTTTAGAACTATATGAGTAAATCATACTGTTTTTAATTAGGGCTTTTTAGAATAGGTTGCTTGAGATTGGGAGGAAAATTAAGAATATAAATTACTGATGTACAGAGGTAGAAGAGTGTGACCCAAGGCTGAGGACATTTCTAGGTGCCTTATGCTCGCTCAGAGGCCCACCTCACAGAGCTACTAGAGGAGGTATGTGACCGGATGAAGGAGTATGGGGAACAGATTGACCCTTCCACCCACCGCAAGAACTACGTGCGTGTAGTGGGCCGGAATGGAGAATCCAGTGAACTGGACCTACAAGGCATCCGAATTGATTCAGACATCAGTGGCACCCTCAAGTTTGCGGTGAGCTTTGGGAGCAGGTCGCTGGTTCTTGGGACTTAGGGGAGTTACTGGAGACCCCAAGTCGAAAGCTGAGCTAATGTCCTTGTCCTCATCTTTGGGGCAGGGGCAGAAGGCCTCTTCTTGCTGCCTTCTCATTTCTCCCTTGGGTTGGCAGTGTGAGAGCATCGTGGAGGAACATGAGGATGAACTCATTGAATTCTTTTCCCGAGAGGCTGACAATATTAAAGACAAACTTTGTAGTAAGCGAACAGGTAAACTACCCCCACACCTCCTATCCTCACAGCCCTGTAGAGCCTGGCACATTCCCTATGTGTCCCCAAACCCCCCAATTTCCTGATATTAGCTTAAGTCTTGGTTCCTATTACCCATGACTAGGGACTCAACTTTCAGAATTTATGGCACCCTCACCTGAGATACAGATGAGAGGATAGTGGGAGTGTTTAGTCATTTAAAGGCATATGCCCTGAAGAGTGGTTGGTGTGTGCCATTTTGCTCTGGGGCATTTTCTTGATGGTGGCATCTATCAGTATGAGAATGGCGTTTTCCTTCAGACTGTTATGTGCTGTTTGCAGATCTGTGTGACCATGCCCTGCACATATCGCATGATGAGCTATGAACCACTGGAGCGGCCCAGACTGACAGGCTTGATGGACCACCCCCAGGAGGGGAGGAGGGTGGCAATGCCTTTTATATTATGTTTTTACTGAAATGAACTGAAAAATTATGAAGCCAAAAGTATGAACTGTGTTGTCTTTTCATGCCCAGAATTGGCCCTCACATTAGGCTTGAAAATAGGGCATTCCAGACAAAAGAAAGGAAGGAAGAGCTTTGGGAATGGTGTAGCATGAAGGTAGGAGGACCCTGAAGCTTTCATTCTTTTGTCATCTGAGACTTCTGCTGGACTCACAAATTAGATAACCACTTATTCAGTGCCTATTCAATACAGTATGTTTAGAGTCTTAATTGTGGAGAGAAGAGAATCTGTGAATAAGCAAGAGAATATAAGTAAGTGTACGGTAGTATAGGATTCTAGAACCTGTCCATACTGATGAAAGAAGACAGAGCTTGGATTTGAAGGAAATAATGGACATGCATTTTCTTCCCTCCCTGCCCTTCCAGATGCAGGGATCAGCAAGAGTGGACAGAAAGGGAAAATAGATGTGATCAAGTTAGCTGAAAAGGGCTTTATCAGATAGGAAAAGATGAGGTAAGGAACGTTACTTAAAGGCTTTGCTTGCTGGCCTGAGCTTTTAGGTTTGATGCCAGCTGTAACATTGAAGTATGCCTTTCTCATCTCCATCACTAGCCATTGTCAATCTGGACCATAAGTCTGTCCTCATTTTCTGTACATAGGATTCTGTACTGGGGCATAGGGATGAAAACCTAAAGGATACCTTTGAGGAGCTTCTTAACACACCTTGATCCAGAGGTATGGCTGTTTCAGGATTTGGAATGGAACATTCCTGTCCCAGGAATGCCTCGGAATGAACACCTGAATAAACATTTAAATTAAGCATTTTAGAATCTAAAGGGAACTTGGAGATCATCTATTAACCTCTGCCCATTCTACAGATGAAGAAGCTGAGACCCAGAGATGCCACAGGTCTTGAAGTTCTGTATATAGTGGCAAAACTGGATCTATAAGCTAATGTTTCAATTGATCTATACAGCTGTAAAGTAACCTCTATTTTGTCTTTTCTCTTAATACCTTGCACTAAGCCTGGCACACAGAATGAATGTGTTTAACAAAGCTTTCTTTGTCAAACAATACACAAATCCCTACGAAATCTAACATGTGAAACGAGCTCAGAACAAGCACCCTGGTAGAGTTCACAACTGAACTCAGGATCTAGTGTTAATTCCTTCTCTCATCACTCATAAGAAATGCTGTATCCTGTCAAATCAGTTTTCCAGGCATGCTGTTACCAACCTTTTTTTCTTCTGTAATGCACATGAATAATGTTCACATGCTTCACACCCCTGTAAGTATACCCAGGATTCTGTCCATTGCCTGCCTGATGTCTAAAAACTTTTTACTTTTCCATCAGAAAGCTTTCAGAAGTGTGAGAATATTTTTATAGGGAACTTGCAACTGTTTTAATTTACAAAACAAGTTGTTCACAAATTTTAATAAATATAATGTTAATTGGTAACAAATTACTTGTGATACACTGCATGCTAGTTTGTCAAGGTACAGCTATTCAGCTATCAAGAACTCTCCAGCTGGAGAGTCTGCCATTGAAGGGTGAACATTATTGTCCTTGACTTGATCTTCAAAAGGTTAAGAGGATATACTTTGCACATCTCTTAATTCCTATCAGAGGTTACCACAGGAAGCCATAAATTTACCTAAATACTTTTGGAGGCTCACTATAACAATTTAGCCTAGTATTTAGAAGACCATATACTCAACTTTGCATACTTAAGCTTTAGATGCCTTCTAAATGAGTTTATCAGTATGGATGTACAAAGGTTTTACGACTATAGTTACTTATCTTAAAATATTTTTAAATACAACAACACATTGAGCTCAAGTGCCCAGAAGACAGTTAACAAGGACTCAATAATCCCTTTCTTGAGTTGCAGCTGATAATTCATAGTCAATAAACAACACAGCTTAGAAGTTAAAACACATCTTCTGGAGTGAGGCCAACCTAGGTCTGAATTCTAGCAATGCCATTTACTGGCTCTGAACAGGAAACATCTAAACCTTGGTTTCCTCCTCTCATTACCTACATCCCCCAGAGTTGTTGTGAGGATTAGTTGAGATAATGCATGTACCACATTTAGATAGTATCCAGGTAAATTTTAGCTCTTACTCATCAAATACAGGTGTTTGGTTTTACTGTTTCAAGTTTAGGCTGCGATCTTCCACTTGTCCTTGGCCACCAGGGGGCACCATTGCCTGTGTCCATTTTAAAGAGGTCATCCCAAGGTCAAGATGACCTCAATGCTCAGCCTTCTCTGCCTTGCTCCTTACAATTCTCAGGCACTTAGTTATATTTGGACCTAGAGCTCACTTGGCTGCCTTCTTCATGCCATTTTTTCTCCTTTTAACTTTCTTCTCACCTTCCCAGGTCCTGTCCACTTTCAGAAAGAGACTAAGCCAGCTCCTAGAAGATACTATTTAGTCTCTTTGATCCCTGGGTCTTCCCATTCACCTTACAGTAGTGGATGTGAGGAATGAACAACTTCAAAACAAGTCCATAAAGTGCTCATGATACTAGGCTCCAAGTCGAGAGGCATACAGCATTACTGTTCCTCACCCTCCAATCATAGAGCTTCAAAACAGACTACCTTTATGACTACTCAATAATTGTCCCCTTGATAGTCTCATCCTGAGACTTGCCTCCTGCCTTTTGGGTCACTGGGGTTCAGTCCTCTGGTCTGCTGGTTGGTCTCTGTGGATAATTAACCAGAATAAAGAAACCAGGACAGACTATTCTAGGGTTAAGAGAAAATCCTTTGTGAGATGCTAAATTGGGAGCAAGTATTGATCAATAGAGCTTTGAAGGCCCCAAGGAGGTAGCTGGGGTCAGTGCTCATCTGGGGTACTGACTGGCTTCTCTTTATGAAGTTCTTTCCTAAGACCTACCTATCTGATCCCCAAGCCAGAGGAGGAGTGGTTGACAGGTGTAATGCCAGGTATGAGGAAACTTGGGGAAAGAAAATGGTGGTTTTCTCTTTTTTTTTTTTTTCCAAGTCCAAGCTGTAAACCAGGTCTATCTAAACCTGGCTTAGATGGTACTGAGACCTCTGAACCTTGTTGTTACTGCAGAGGAGATAAAACCCCTATTCACTTGGGGCTTGGGGTTTGTAGATAAGGTTCCCTGATCTTTGGGTCAGTTCCCCTCTGGCCCTTGGGTCAATAACAATGATAGGCTCAGGGAGGCAGCAAGGTCCTGAGGTCTTGTCTACCCACAGGAGTGAGTCAACAGTGGCAAGGTCACTTTAGTACCTTAAGCACTGGAGTTCAGTCCTCTGGGAACTTAATAGTCTCTGGGAAGCACAGAATAAGAGTGTACAGAAGATAGCTAAGTAGGGGAAGGGGACTAGAGGCCCTTTCGGAGCTGACCAGAATGCTGTGACAAAAAGGGAGGGTACCTAATGCCTGATTTTGGATGAGAGATTGTCTGCAGTTCCTTATCTTGTGAACAGATGTGGGGTAGGTTGGCTGTGTGGGGTTATGTGACTGGAGTAATGTGAGACTAATGCCCAGGAACCAGAGGCTCTGGACTGCGCTGGAAGCTTTCATATTAAGGGGAAGTTTGTACGACTTGGAGTTCCTAGCACTAGATACAGAATTGACAGCCCACAAAGAGCAGGTTGTGGATATATTCAGGATACTGAGTGGATATTTACTTTCCTTCTCCACATATTGGGGCCCATTAGTAACTATAATATCATGGCTTTTGGTGACCTCAAATCATCTCCACCAAGCAGCTGACTCTGGTATTATAGCCTGTGTCCACATGATGTCATGTCTATAGCCACTAAGTTATTGACCAGAGACTTTCTTCAGGACACCCTGCCCAGGGGGTGAGAGGAGCTGGCAATGCTCAGTTGCCATTATAGTATAGTAAGGCGTTGGCTTCCAAGGGTCCTCCTAGGTCTAAGTCCTTAGGCCTTTTCTTCTAACATTCACTTCAAAACAACCCCAAATACATTAAGGGCAAGGAGGAAGCTCAAGGAAGTGAACAGAGTTCTCAGGCACATTCTTAGCTGCCTATACTCTTCCCCCCACCCCCACCCCTCCCGTCTTAATTATCCTGCCTTCGGGCGTCCAATCCTCGCTGCTGTACAGCTGCCAACGGCCCAGGTCCCGCCCCACGTCCACACAGGACCAATGGCCGAGCCTAGGGAGAACCCCAGGCCGTAGGCGGGGCTCACTGAGGACCCCGCGCTGGGCGCCGCCGCCGGCTCGCCTACCCTTTCCCTTAGCAGCCTCCTTTCAACCTTGTCCCCTGTTGGCGCGGCCTTTCGTGCGGTGACGGCGGCGGCGGCGGCGGCGGCGGCTCCGGTTCTTGCCGCAGCTTCCTTCTCTCCTCCCCGCCGGATCCCTGAGTTTGCCCGCCATGTCGCTACTCACTGCCGCTGCCCGCCTCTTCGGAACCAAGGTGAGCAGCTAAGGCAGGGAGCGCGCTGTCCCCTGGAAGGACTGGGCGGCTGCAGGCCCCCCGGCTCCGGGGCCTCCTCCCCTCCCCTCCCCGCAAGCACCCCCAGCGCGCCTTAAAAGGGCCCTGCCCTTGGCGGCCGCCCGTCCTACATGGACTTACAGGGCCATGTGCTCCCTTGGCTGTCTGGCCCTTGAAGGTACGGTGAACGCCGTCCGCCCCCAGCATGTGGTTTGGGGCGGGTGTGGAGTCCAAACCCTGCTATCACCCCGTATGTCTAGGGGGAAAGCGGGGGTGGGGAATGCGTGGCCCTGGAAAAAAGAGGAGCCTCCAGTGGTGAACAGAGGCGTGTCCGTTGGAGTTAAGGGAAGAGCCTGTTTGGAGGAGGGGGCGCGGGGCAAAAGTGGCAGTACTGAACAGGGGTGGGTGTGCTCACTCTGCCTCTGGGCCATAGCTGGACTGACTGATGGCTCATTTCTGTTTCTGCTGTGTAGGGAGGGCCTTGTCAGTTCCTGAGTTGCCTTTTTCCATTTCTCCAACCCAATTATTTAAGCCTTTAGTGACCAAGCCACAGCAGTTCCTGCTGGAGTAGGACTCAGCCTCTTTGTCCTTGGGGCTGTTGCATTCACTCTGCGTGGAAGAGCTTGGCTGGAATGGAGCGCTTCTGTAACACCTCTGCATGATTATCATACAGAATTAGAGAAAGAACCGGGAAGATTGTACCCCTAAACTTCAAGCCAGTAGGTGATACCGGGCAGGACTGGGTAATTCCAGAGTCACATGACCAGGCCTGCTCCTTAACTCGCTCAGGTTTTGCGGTTGCTCCTAAGTCAGCTCTACCCAAGAGATACCCCTCTCCTTCCCTAGGGCCCTTTACTTGTGTTGCCATTGGGATCATAGGAATTCTGTTCCAGATAATGGTGCTTTCTGTTTCAAATTGCTGGTGCTTTTGTCTCTGAGTTAGCTTGGCCTCTTACACAGAGACCCCGCTGTGCTGAGAGAGTCCCAGCCCCCCTAAGCCAAGGGACAGCCCCACAACTGACCTTGACTCAAAGAATTTACACTCTCTTCTGCAGACAGATTGAAACAGCCAGCACCAAAGAAAAGGAAAATCTTACAACGGTTTTGGCTTGCTGTGCGTTACCTTTCAGGGTTGCCGAATAAGGTGAAACCTGTAGGATTTACACTGGGAACTTCCAGGCACCCAACAGCAAGGTGGGGGCCGGTCCTTTGGGAGATACTTGTCTTACTTGACTGTTGCTTCTGCTGCCAGGGGCAGGCTAAGGAAGCCTCCTGGGAAATGAAGCAAGTTCTAGATAGAGTTTTGGCAGAATACGGGACACTATTATTAGCTCATTCCAGAGCTGCTAACCCAGACCAGATAGTCTGACCCTACAGTGAATTTGAAAACCCTTAAGAATTTATCTTTTGAATTTATTTTGCCTCTTAAGCCTCTTGGGGAGCTCAGAAAGTTTTTGGGATGACAGGGCTATGTAATTGTAGTATTGTTATTATTTTGTTACTTTCCTATTGTAGAGCGACCTAAGGATCCCCAAAACCTGTAAATTAGAAGCCATTAGAAGGCTTTTTGACACAACTGGCAAAGCCCAGCAGACTCAGGAGTGGAAATCTGAGCCCTAAGCAGTATGGCTAGGATACCAAGAAGCCTTTCAGTTTGTCAGCATTGCTAGCACCTGCCTTAGCTTTCCAGATTAGCTTGCACGTCATTGGACTTGATTTTATTTTGCTATTAAGTATTAAGGTAGGCTTTAGAAGACAAAAATAGTCTTCTGTCCTGGGAGAACTGACCCCTACCACTTTGATTCTCAAGGTCAGATGTAGTTTCACTTTTCTGAGAAGAAATTCTTTAACCTTGCTAGGAGACACAAATGCTAGTCATTGTTCTGTTTATTGTTCCACCCTACTCACTCTCAGGTAATTAATGAACAGGTAATTAATGAGCCTAATTCAGAGCCTTGAGATGGACTGCTTGTTTACCCAAATGAATTCATACTAAGTGGCTTCAGTATTAGCTGTGGGTGCCTTAGCTTTGTGATGTAAGTACTGTCTTCACAGGCTGTCTGGTTTTGTATTTGGGCTAGGGCCAAATACAAATTAAGAGTAGAAATTGGAGTAGGGCCACCACCGGTTCACTTCTGGACTCCCAGTGCCAATGTGACGTAACCAACCCTAGTTATTTCTTGTACCATTGAGAACTGCTCTTCCAAGTTTGGATGTTTAATAACAGTAAATCAGTCCGAAAGTGTTTGTAGGTAATTTCTAGACTTTTTCAAGACACAAATTAATATCCATGATTCCTTTACAGCAGGTCTACAGCACTGCACAACATCTGTGTAAATCATAGGCTGAAACTGGGTTCGGCAAAACCAAGTCAGTTTTGTCCTATGAAATGTCAGTTAGGCGTACATCCCAGAACGTTTAAAGGCAAGTACCCAAGTCTCTGTGCCTTCACTAGGATTATTGGCCCACTTACAGTAATGGGAGTTCCTTGATGCTTGCTAGGTAGACCGAGGATGAAGAATGGAGAGTAAAGTCACACCATTTGCTAGTGGTGGGGTGACTGCGTTTGTTCTTAGTGGCCTTTTTAGATTGGTAGCAGGTGTATGAGTGGTTGTGGGCGGCAGGGAGTTGAGCAGTGGTGAAACAGATGAGAAGGGAAGGCTGGCAGTTCTGGTTCGGAGAATCCAAGTGGTAGAAGCCTAGTACAGGAAACCAAACTTGGCAGAGCTCTGTAAAGCCACATGGTAATTCCTTCTGCCCTGTTTTAGCACTTAATGTGATAGAGTTGAGTGGGATGTGAAATTTAAGATACTAGTGAGGCAAGTTAGCAATAGCTCTTTCTTATGATTTCTCTTTCAGTTCTTCTTTTTAACTGCCCAAATTCCTTAGGTCCCTGTATTTCTTTTAACGTGCTATCATTTTAAAAGGTCTGTAAGTTCACGGTGGGCATCATCATTTTGGGATGCCTGTTCACAGTGCACATTTGTGAATCCTCCCTTCAGATCTAGGTTCAGGAAAGGTGGGATGGAATCTGGGAACTCACAATTTTTTAAGCACCTCAGATGCTTGGTGGCCCGTGTAGGCTGGTTTGTTTGTGACTTTATTAAATGTATATGTGAAACTGAGTGGTGTTTGGGCATTTTTTTGGAATTAGTGGTTATTTTTTAAATTGACTTAAGTGATTATTCTAAGCAGTAGCTCACTTTAAGCAATTTTTTTCTGGGTTTGTTGTCTCCTTTTTTTCAAATGCCTTAGGAAAAGCCTCTTGTAAATCCCTGGAGCAAAGTGTTAGAAGATAAAACTTGCAAGAATTCCTAGTGGAAGTGGGAACAATTTATAGTTCCTGAGAAAGTAGGTGACAGATACTGTGTACTTACTAGTGTATGCTTAGTGTGCACATAATAAGGTATTCAGCAAATATTTGTCAAAGAACAGGAGATTTCTGCTGAAAAGAAAATCAGGACTCAGTTCTTGTCTGAGTCTGAATTGGTGTCTTGCTCTCTTCCCTGCTGATTGATCAGTGAATCTTCAGGATCAAGTCTGTTAGAAAATGACAGGTAGAATTATTAAGGAAATTCCCCAGAGCATGAAGGGAGTCAAAGTATGAAATTTAAAGATTACTCTGCTCAGGCTATTAAGTGGTATGACTGAGTAGTGCAGTCTGACTTCCATTATTACCATTGTGAAACACAGGCGTTGAATGGCTTTAGTTCTGTGACCTCCTTCTGAGGAGAGAAGAGCCTTTGTCCTGTATTTTTTCCCCCTTAATGCAGGTTGTTCCTTCTGCATTGGAAGCCTTTGTAGCACAAGATTTTTCCTGCCCATTATTAGTGCATTATGTTCGCTTCATCAACTGAGCTGGTCCTGAAGCTTGGCAAAGCTCTGATGTTTTGATGAAGGACAAGGGATCTATGAAAATCAGGAGCATCTTTCTCAAACTCTTAATGTTGGAGCCCCTGGATATAAGACAGGTCATGTTCTAAATGTGCCTAGAATGGAGGTTCAAAGACAATTTTGTTTTTTTCCCTGCAGAGTAAGTGTCCAACATGTGGACCCGTGTTAATAGGCTAAGCGAGAAGTAACCACATTATTGAGTAAGTGCTTATCCAGATAGGATTCTGCTGTTTTCAGAATCTGGGGGAGAAGGGAGTAGTTATCAGTTTTTGGTAAGTTATTTGGCCAATACCCTATTGCAGAAATACCTTAAGTACTATAGGCAAAGGTTTGGCAGAATTTCCTACATAAACTGTTAGTCTTTTGCTTCCCTTGGCCCTTCAAGTTAGAGGTTCATTTAATTACGTTTTCCATCCTAGCACATTTGAGAGCTACAACCCACGTCTGTCACTCACATAAGCAAACTCACTAGAAGAATTCTTGAAAGTGGTGGCACCATTTTCAGGTTTGAGAAAGCCTTAGTGATTGCCATACCCCCACCACCACCCTGTAGAGAATCCTGGGTGTCAGACATTGTGAGCCAGCCCTTTGTCTTTGGAAGCAGCCTTTCCCACCCCTCACCATGAAGAAGCTGACCTATTGAATGAGGTCTAATTCACCTGACAACTGCTGTTCCAGTAGGGTGACTCTACACGTGGCATGCAATCAGAAGTCAAAAGCCCAATTGCCACACCTCCAGAATTGGGGGAGGGGCTGTGAGGTAAAAGTTCAGGGATGACTCAGAGGTTTGTAACTGCCTATCCTGTCAGTGGGTATAACCCGAATGTACTGTACACAAGCTATTGGACAGCTTTCCTTGGCAGCCAGGCATAGATGAAATGAAGTTGTAGCCTTGGGCATCTCCTGTCTACCCATTTGCTCCGCTTGTGAAGATTACTGTTAGTTAAATTTGTTTCCTGTCCCTGACACTCCTCCCCTCTTGGTCAGGAGACCCTTAAAAAGGAATTTTTCTTTTCTATAGCTGTTCTACACCTAGAGAGAATTATCCATTCATCCCTTCCTCAAACTTGATTGCCACTTTTCTGGGAATCAGTGCCAGAAGAGAGTGACACTTGAGGTGGTGGGTAATAGGCCATTTCTAAGAAACAAATAGTATTAAATTCAGCTATACAGAAGGCACTGTTCTAGATGCCTTCATGTAAATTATTTCATACAGTCTACTTTGCCTACCCTGAATTTGGCTTTATTATTATCAATTTAGAAATATGAAAACTGGGACTCATTGGGTCATATTGCTAAAGTAATCTGCACAATAGTGGCAGAACCTGGATTTAGGACTTGATCCTCCGTAACTCTACATTTTATCCTTTTGCTCCCTTGTTGAATACTTTAGTTCTTGGGTGTGTCTCAAATTTGCTGTTCATATGAATCACCTTGTGAGTTTGTTGAGCTGCAGATTTGGTTTCAGTAGGTTTGAGGTGAGGCCCAAGATTCTGCATTTCTAACAAGCTCCAAGTAAATCAAGGCTAATACTGCTGGCTAGGCAGCCATATTTCAAATAGCAAGGCTTTCAATACCTTTACATATGTCCTTATTGGAGCCATAGACTCAGACTTTGAGCTAAGTAACTTGGGTACTATCCTAAATGTGGAGAAAGAAAGGGAAGAATTGTGTTCCTTTAAGGTCTCAAGTTTAGGAAAAGAGCTGAGGCTAGAACCCAGATTTCCTTCCTAATTTACAAGTCATGTGTTGTCTTGTATATTATTCAGGTAAAGTTGTCTTAACTTGAACTTCAACTGTTCCTGTCTTTTGGGTATTATATCAATGAATTGCTCCCTTAAAAATCCTTGACTTCTTCGGTTTCCTTCTAAGCTGCAGGATTATCTAAAAATATGACTAAACCCAAGAAAGTGGTCATACTATTTAATATTATATATTTTTAAAAGCAAATACAAAGCACTTGCTATATGCCAGACATGGTTTTAAGTGCTTAGTAAGTATTGGCTTAATTAATCCTCAGAGCAGTCCTTTGAGCACCTATATTGTTGTTGTTCCCATTTTACAGATAAGGAAACTGAGACAGAGAAAGGTTAAGTAACTTGGCTAAGGCCACACAGCCAGTAAGTAGCCGAGAAGTGTAGTAGATGCGAGGTATACAGGCTTTATTATGCAGCTGCATGGCCAGGCACTCCACAGACTAGCTTTGCTTTGCAAATAGATCTGGCTAAGAGCTGTTGCTGATGAAGATGTGGGACAGTTGAGATCAGCTCTGTTACTCCTGAGGCCCTTCATTAAATGGCAGATCTGCTCTCTACAAAGGAAATTCACTTTACCTATGGTGGAAGTGGGATGATGGTTTGCTTCCAAGTTCCTCTCCCTGACCATTCTCTTAAAGTAGCACTTATACAAATCTGAGAAATGACTGCAGCTAAACCTCAGTCGTGACCAGTCTGATTCCTTTAAGTGATGTATTCCCATAGCCGTGTTAGGGGATCTTCCACCCTTTTCTGGGTGGGGCAGGGGGGTTGTTTTTTGTCTTTTTAACTCTTAAATGAAGTAAAAGGAGAGGGCAGCACATTGATCCTAGCAGTTCTCTCTCACAAGGGGAAAGAACTATTTTTGTTTTATGTTCATATTGGTGGAAGAAAGACCTCCAACCTGAGGGAATTTCCATTTTTGTCTCAAGATCTGGACTCTCATTCTGTCTGTTGAACTTGTTTTTATTTATTTTTTTGCCCATATTAAACTGTTTTGCCAGATTCAACTGTTCTTACAATCCTTCCTTTGACCAGTGAAGCATCTAGCCATTATAAAAACTTATAGATGGTTTAAAAGTGGAAAAATGGTCATTATGGAGAGAGTTCACTTTTCTTCTTTCAGGTATGTTCCCCTGTAGCCTCTAGGAACCAAACCACCACAACGACCAGCCACCCACAGTTGAGAGGGCTGTGTCGCAGGACTGATGTGGTCAGTGTGAGCTGGGACCTCGGAGCGTGGAATAGCTCACTTGAACATGTTACTAGCTCTGTAGAAAAAGTTTGAACTTACTTGTTTTCCCTTGTTCACTTTTTGGTGACTAGAGGCAAACTTTTACTTTTTGGTAAAAAGAGGTAGATTTATTTCTTGCGTGCAGGGACTGGTTCCCATTCGCCCTGTGTAGGGTGAAGAGGTTGCAGTCCTGTTGTGCCTTCCTGCTTGTTACCCAGATGGTCCTTGGTGAACCAGAGGATGCTCTTTAGGAAGTTAGTGAAAGAAGTTAAAGACAATCCTGGTTAAGTTGAGGCATCCCCTTTGCTTTAGAGTCGTACTAGCTTGCCTTCTGCTCTGAGTTTAGCTTCGGATTGATTGATTTTAAAGTCACCTTTTCTGAAGGGTCTCTTCTGTTTTCAGTCCCCCCTATTACTCCAATAGAAAGAGGGATACTAAATTCTCAAAAACCTTAGGCTCTACTTAACTTTTAGGTGTTTTTGGCCTTTTGGCAAAAGGAAAAAAGGTGTGGGCTTGCTCTGGGATTAGATGTGTGTGTGTGTGTGATATTTTTGTTTTGCAAAGTGCTTTCACACTCATTGTAATTTAACCTGTAATTTAAAAAGACTAACCTGTGAAATGTGTGGTGAGTATTTAGTGCCGTTTTATTGTAGATGAGGAAACAGGCTTACTTGGACTATCTCATTTTATCTTCAATAATCTTGTGCAGAAAAGTTAATTTTGTGCAGAATAGTATAATTGGCCATCTTTTTCAGATGCAGTGTTGTACTTTCTGTTGCAGCTCAGCAGTCTTCTCATAAGAAGTTGTTCTTCAGAGGGGGAACCTATCGCTGAACATAGAAAAACATAGGCCAGGTACACTGTTTATCTTTGTGGTGAGCAATAGGCGTTTTGAATCTCAGACCCATCTTTCTGGATAATTTTCTTTCTGAGGTGTATCTTTAAAAACTCCTTTGGTATAGGTGTGGAGGTGATAAACTCTCAGCATTTGTTTATCTGAAATAAAGGTCTTTATTTCATCCCTTCTGTTAAGATTTTTTCCCTGTCTGGATGCACTCCTCAAGCTTAATAATTATTTACCTTTTGAAGATCCTTTCCTGTTTCCACTGCCAGGTGTTACTTTGCAGACAGTCTGTCTGCTCTGCTGTTCCCAGGAAGATTGAACAGTGTGAAAGGCAGCCTCTACCATGGTCTCTGCTGAGCTGGAGAGGCTGAAGTGCTGCCAGGAGAGTAGGGGGTAGTAGGGGGGGTCTTACCAGCAGGGTTAAGTAATCCATCATTTCCTCATTAGTTTTTCTCAAGGCCCTCAGAACTGTTGAAAGCTAGATTCCCTTAAATGGGGTACTCTTAACAATTGCCTCTCTGACCTTTGCTTTGTGCCTAACAAAGCCCAGTCCTGGAGCCCAGAGGATGGGAAAGAGTCTCTCTTCAGGGATACAAGAAAGCAGAGCTAAAACCAGCTGCTGCCTCCAGACTGGTAATTCCTTTCAAGCTGTTCAGGGCCTTTTACAGCTATCTTATGTCCAGCTGTGCTTCAAGGCTGAGATGAAGAACAGAGGTTGAGTCACTCTGACTCCTTGTGAGTACATAGGAGAGAGGAGTAAATATAACATAAGGTCTGTGTTTTCTTTGCAGAATGCATCCTGTCTTTTTCTTGCTGCCCGGCATGCCAGTGCTTCCTCCATGGTAAGGTTTGGAAAAGACAGAATCACAGAGGTAGCCTGACCTGTGATGGGTGGGTATGGGTGTGTTTTGCTACCTCTTGAAGGTGTCCATTCTTATTATAGCTATTATTACTACTCCTTTAAGAAATAATTTACTCAGTAGTATAGTAAGGTGGGGATATCAAATGTTTTTGCCTAATCTATTTTTTTTAATTGTAAAATATACATAAGATAACATTTGCCTTTTTTGTTGTTGTTTTTTCTTTTTTTTTTCTCATAAGAAGTTGTTCTTCAGAGGGGGAACCTATCGCTGAACATAGAAAAACATAGGCCAGGTACACTGTTTATCTTTGTGGTGAGCAATAGGCGTTTTGAATCTCAGACCCATCTTTCTGGATAATTTTCTTTCTGAGGTGTATCTTTAAAAACTCCTTTGGTATAGGTGTGGAGGTGATAAACTCTCAGCATTTGTTTATCTGAAATAAAGGTCTTTATTTCATCCCTTCTGTTAAGATTTTTTCCCTGTCTGGATGCACTCCTCAAGCTTAATAATTATTTACCTTTTGAAGATCCTTTCCTGTTTCCACTGCCAGGTGTTACTTTGCAGACAGTCTGTCTGCTCTGCTGTTCCCAGGAAGATTGAACAGTGTGAAAGGCAGCCTCTACCATGGTCTCTGCTGAGCTGGAGAGGCTGAAGTGCTGCCAGGAGAGTAGGGGGTAGTAGGGGGGTCTTACCAGCAGGGTTAAGTAATCCATCATTTCCTCATTAGTTTTTCTCAAGGCCCTCAGAACTGTTGAAAGCTAGATTCCCTTAAATGGGGTACTCTTAACAATTGCCTCTCTGACCTTTGCTTTGTGCCTAACAAAGCCCAGTCCTGGAGCCCAGAGGATGGGAAAGAGTCTCTCTTCAGGGATACAAGAAAGCAGAGCTAAAACCAGCTGCTGCCTCCAGACTGGTAATTCCTTTCAAGCTGTTCAGGGCCTTTTACAGCTATCTTATGTCCAGCTGTGCTTCAAGGCTGAGATGAAGAACAGAGGTTGAGTCACTCTGACTCCTTGTGAGTACATAGGAGAGAGGAGTAAATATAACATAAGGTCTGTGTTTTCTTTGCAGAATGCATCCTGTCTTTTTCTTGCTGCCCGGCATGCCAGTGCTTCCTCCATGGTAAGGTTTGGAAAAGACAGAATCACAGAGGTAGCCTGACCTGTGATGGGTGGGTATGGGTGTGTTTTGCTACCTCTTGAAGGTGTCCATTCTTATTATAGCTATTATTACTACTCCTTTAAGAAATAATTTACTCAGTAGTATAGTAAGGTGGGGATATCAAATGTTTTTGCCTAATCTATTTTTTTTAATTGTAAAATATACATAAGATAACATTTGCCTTTTTTGTTGTTGTTTTTTCTTTTTTTTCTTTTGATATCTACAATTACATGAGGAACATTATGTTTACTAGACTCCCCCATCACCAAGTCCCCCCCACGTACCCCATTACAGTCAGTGTCCATCAGCGTAGTACTACTTGTCTTCTCTGTGTTGTACAACCCTCCCCATGCCCACCCCCCCGCTACATTATGTCTGCTAATAGTAGCATTTGCCATTTTTAAATGGCAGTAAGTACATTCATATTGTCCAGCCATCACCACCATCCATTCTATAGCTTTGTTATCATTCCAGATTGAAATTCTGTACCCATTAAACAGTAACTTCCCCATTCCCTTCTCCTTCTTCCAAGTTTCTTAATCCTCATCTTGTTGAAGTTGACCATACTTTGTAGCAGATAAAGAAAGCCAAATTCTAAAAAGCAGTCTTCATGTACCTGTTTTGCAGGAAATCTTACCAACCCTTTGACTAGCACTTAGCCTCTCTACTTCTTCTTATAGAATTTGAAAGACGTATTAGCTGACTTGATACCTAAGGAACAAGCCAGAATTAAGACCTTCAGGCAGCAACATGGCAAGATGGTTGTGGGCCAGATCACTGTGGACATGGTAAGGGTTGTGGGGTCTTAGCTGGAAAAAATAGCTCTGTAATGTGTTAGAACAGAAGTACTGTCTCTTCACTGACTATTCAGGAGTATTCTGTCCCATACAAGGAACTGTTAAGCTTATGTATTAGAAATTAGACTGTTCTTTTTTACAAATTAAACAACTGAGCCTAGTCTAATTCATTTTGGGAGGGATGAATGAAGTTTCTGTTCTCTTCCCAGCTGCTCAGTTTTTGGGGCCAGGGCTCTCTGTCTTTGAATTGGTGTTGGACTGACCATCCAGTTAAACCACAGCTCTAGCAGGTCCTCTAGAATAGCTTTAGCTATTGCTTCTCCAGCCCTAAGAGTCTGAGAGGCTCAGATGATAATTCCACAGTGGTGTTTAGCCATTGGTCTCTCTCCCCTTTTCCAGTTATAGATCCCATTCTCTTTACTTTGTGGGAATGAGAGAGTAAGAGTGGGCAGGAGAAGACGTAACATACAATAAGAAAAGGAAGCAAACAGCTGCAGAAACATAAAATACCGATTTCTCTGCTTAAAAATTTAATTTCCACTGTTAGCAGTCTTCCTTGTAAATATAGTAAGTTCACTCTTCAGAAATCTTCCCCTGGATGAATTTTTGCAAGTCAGAAAATAAGTTTCCTCTTTCAGCTCATGAGACACTAACCAACTCTAGTCTTAATTATTCTGACTTCTGGTTACATCCTCCTCTTTTCTCTAGATGTATGGTGGCATGAGAGGCATGAAAGGATTGGTGTATGAAACATCAGTTCTTGATCCTGATGAGGTAAGAGATGCCCCTGATAGTCACTAATCATCACTGAGTTTACTGACTATGTGTACACTGTGATTAGACCAGTGAGGGTAAGGAGAACAAAATAACGAACCTTCACAATTTAGAAGGTAGAAAATATAGACATATGGAATAACTGAAGAACAGGTTTGCCTTTTTATTATTTCAACTAGTAAAACTAGAAGTATAAAGCAGAAGTGAGTTATATGAAAATTCAGTCTTTAAAAGTTCTATTCTAACTTTTTGAAAGGTCTGGTAAGAGTGGGACCAGTCAGTTATGTGACTTCTAGACTAATAAACTCTAAGAGTTGTAACTCTTACTCTTTTCCCTCAAGGGCATCCGTTTCCGGGGCTACAGTATCCCTGAATGCCAGAAACTCCTACCCAAGGCCCAGGGTGGGGAAGAACCCCTACCAGAAGGCTTATTTTGGTTGCTGGTAACTGGAAAGATCCCAACAGAGGGACAGGTAAAGCACAAGGACCTAGTCCTTTCTCATTTACCTCCTCCTCTGCCTTTCTTTAATCTCAGATGCTCAGTCCTGATCTGGCTATGGGTTGGTAGTTTATAGACATGTAGTGAGGGGCAAGAATCAGAGCAGAGTTCTGCTTTATAGGTGTATTGGCTTAAATTCTCTTGGATTTTCTTTATCCAGTGACAATTTTTTTTATTTCTCTTCTTTTTCCTTGCCTTGTGTTCTGAACAATGTCTCCCTTTCCACAGGTATCTTGGCTCTCAAAAGAGTGGGCAAAAAGGGCAGCTCTGCCTTCCCATGTGGTCACCATGCTGGACAATTTCCCCACCAATCTACACCCCATGTCTCAGCTGAGTGCGGCCATTACAGCCCTCAACAGTGAAAGTAACTTCGCCCGAGCGTATGCAGAGGGCATCAGCCGCACCATGTACTGGGAGGTAGGGAGTTGTGGAGCCCTCAGTGATGTGTAATGGGCTTTCAGAGGGCTCGTGTGAAAGAAGAAAAGGGAATGTAGAATTTTTAGGAAAATTACTTCCCTGAATTATAACAGAAGCTCATTTAATAGTTTTTAGTGTAGGCCTGCTCTTTGTTAGTCATTGGGATTGCAGAGATAAAGGCAGCCTGCTTTCTCTTTCCAAGGTTATGGTTTGGTCAGGTGACGTACATGTGGAAAAGAAACTGCAGTTCGGTAATTTTGCTGTAATAGAGGTGTGTACACAGGGCTGTTGAAACTTTGAAAAGGATGCAACTTAACTATAGGGTCCCTGAGGCAGATTTCACAGATAGTCTCACCCCAGCCACAAAGAGTCCTTCTCCTCTTCTTCAAATAGGGAGAGCCTGGAGAAGTTGGGTGAACGGCAGCCAGGGCAGCTAGAGTCTAGGACTGATGCCAGTCAGCCACAGTTGTGGAGCTGCCCACTCAAAATACCTGTCAGGAGTGGAAAGTTAGTTGTTATTCTAGAAGTAGGATCCAGGAACAAATGAGCTTTATTTTCTGAAAATGAAATGTGACCTTAAGAGTTTAAGCTCTGGTTAGAGGATGAGAAGACTGTTGTCTTGTTGCAATATATACTACATAATTCCTTCCATCTGCTTTCAAGTACCCCACATATGCACAAACACTGGTATAAAGTACAAATTACCTGGCTAGGTTTATAGGAGAACATCTCATTTTCTTTTATTTCTTGTTTGGAGCAAGGTGTAGTATAGGACAGAAAAGTTCTTTTTTGCAAAGCCAGTATATTAAATGATTTTGACCAGGAAAAGGCCCCCAAAGAGTTCACTATGATGGAAGGTACAGAAGATCATGGCCCACTGGTCTGATGGAATGCCCTTGGGGTTTTGGCAAATCTGCTTCATTTGGTTGGTCAATATTTAGTGCCAACAGTGTATAAAGAATTATGTTTGCTATTGAGGAAAAGAGGAAGGAGAGTTTGCAATTGATGTTAGTCTGGTTGGCATTGAGGAGGAAAGTATAGGAATGATGTATTCACAAACATTTAAAACATTTATTAAGTCACATGTCAGCAAGTTCAGGAGGTCATATAATTTGAATATATTGCTTTTCATTTTCTTTTTAAAAGTGCTATTCAAGTAATTGTTATGTGTGTGGGTCATCATACAAGAAACAATTAAATCAAGACCAGTTCTCCTATTTTAAGACTCATCTTTTAGAAATTGACCCTCAGAAGTGCCTATTAGTCCTTACAGTGCCATGGTCCTGACTGTGGTAAGGGCTGTAGGAAACACCTTCACACTGTTCGGTGGGTCCCAGGCTTCCAGACGTGCCACACTGCCCACTGCCCTTTATTGGGTCACTGCATTAATTCTGCTCTGCCTGCTGTTGCCTGTATTTCAGTGTACAGCCATCATTTGATCGCTGTGCCATCACCTCTTTGTGAGAGGCCATCAAGACTTTACAGGACTTCTGGAAAATATTTATAAGCTTTGCAGACATATTTGTCAGCCTTCTGTGTCTAGTGAATTCTGTCACACACCAGTAACCGCTTTAGTTTAGTGGAGCTTCAGGCTCTTTCGCTGCCACATCTTGTATTTCTCTCCAAAGGTCAGACACACTTCCAGTTCTTTGTCTCAGTTAGTTTAATCATAGGCTATTTAAGTAGAATTACATGACAGCATTCAGCTAGTTATCTGTTTAAAAATTTATGTTAAGGAGTTTATGTGTGATGTGAGTCTTCCTCATCAGTTCATACTGTTTATATGTTCCTCAAGAGGATGATCTGTCTACAACATCCCTTCTATAACATGACTAAATAGTGTAATCGCTTGAGTTGAATGAGTTAGGTTTCTTTTTGATTGACTTCACTTTGCTCATACAAGGAGATTACTGTGATGCTCCCAGATGTTTAATTATGAAGTAGCCTTAAGATACTGTTGAATTGAATAAAATTTGCAAAGTAGCTGACTAAGTTTTGCTAGTAATGCCACCTTTTGTAAGGCCTATAGAATGATCTTGAATGGTGTATGATAAAATCATCATCCTAATACCTAACAACTCTTGAAAACATGCCAGATATTATGCTTAAATGTTTTATATTTGTTATCTGACTTAATCCTCAGAACAATCCTATGAGGGAAAACTGAAGATTAGAGAAATTTTGTGTAGTTTGCCCAAAGCCATGTATCTAGTAAGTGGTAGAGACTGGATTCAAACTTGAGTTTGCTTCACTCTAGGGTCACTTCACCATTAATACTGGCGCTCTTCTTTTTCTGTGTTTTGTTAACAATGATTGACAGCCAAATACATGGCTCACAATGGTAATAATGATAATTATGGTCAATTTTGTTACCTTTGTGCTAGACAATTGTGATGGTGGCATGTTTTAACATCTTTTCCAAGGCTTTATAGATAAAGAATGAGTTGGTATATAAGTTCATTAAATAGCACCTCAGTCTTAGCTTTTGAAGGAGAAATAAGGAGTTCTCTATTTTTATTTTATTTTATTATTTTTTTAAAGGCTTATGTAACAAAGTTTATTTGATAAGACAGTACACACTCAGATGAGAATGTGGGCAACCTCAGAGAGGAGGTATGCTTAAAGGGTTAAGGGTTTGGGGTTTTATAGGGCCTTTTGGGTAGTGGTCAGCAAAAGGCATGATGCATACAGGTGAATAATAATTCCTCTTAAGTTTTGTCTTAAGAATAGGGGTATTTAGGTGACTGTGTTGATCCAGATCTTGGCTTTTCTTCAACCATGTAGTTTTTTCTTTTCTTTTTGTTTTATTTTTTTATTTTGGTATCATTAATCAACAATTACATGAAGAACATTATGTTTACTAGGCTCCCCCCTTCACCAAGTGCCCCCCACATACCCCTTCACAGTCACTGTCCATCTGCAGAGTAAGATGCGGTAAAATCACTACTTCTCTGTGTTGCACAGCCCTCCCTGTGCCCCCCATGCACTATACATGCTAATCGTAATGCCCTCTTTCTTTTTCCCCGCCCTTATCCCTCCCTTCCCACCCATCCTCCCCAGTCCCTTTCCCTTTGGTAACTGTTAGTCCATTCTTGGGTTCTGTGATTCTGCTGCTGTTTTGTTCCTTCAGTTTTCCTTTGTTCCTATACTCCACATGAGTGAAATCATTTGGTACTTGTCTTTCTCCACCTGGCTTATTTCACTGAGCATAATACCCTCTAGCTCCATCCATGTTGTTGCGAATGGTAGAAACTTTTTTTCTTATGGCTGAATAATATTCCATTGTGTATATGTACCACATCTTTATCCATTCATCTACTGATGGACAGACACTTAGGTTGCTTTCATATCTTGGCTATTATAAATAGTGCAGCAATAAACATAGGGGTGCATCTGTCTTTTTCAAACTGGAGTGCTGCATTCTTAGGGTAAATTCCTAGAAGTGGAATTCCTGGGTCAAATGGTATTTCTATTTTGAGCATTCTGAGGAACCTCCATACTGCTTTCCACAATGGTTGAACTAATTTACATTCCCACCAGCAGTGTAGGAGGGTTCCCCTTTCTCCACACCTCACCAACATTTGTTGTTGTTTGTCTTTTCGATGATGGCGATCCTTACTGGTGTGAGGTGTTACCTCATTGTGGTTTTAATTTGCATTTCTCTGATGATTAGCGATGTGGAGCATAATTTCATGTGCCTGTTAGCCATACTGGATTTCTTCTTTAGAGAACCGTCTATTCAGCTCCTCTGCCCGTTTTTTAATTGGATTATTTGCTTTTTGTTTGTTGAGGTGTGTGAGTATTTTTATTTTTTATATCTCTTGACTGGACAGCATTGATCACTGCAGAAAGCAGGCTAAGGATGCCACTGTCATATCTTGTGTGATACTCACTGCTTCACAGACTTCATCCTCAGTGGTAGGAGTTGAAGCAGTCTCCTTTTTGTGGTTTCTTTATGCTGTGGCCACTCATCCTTTACAAATGATTTTGGAAGTTAGTACATACTCCACAGATAACAGTTTGCTTAGCCAGGGGGCCTGTTCTCCTTGACATTGTGCTCATGAATCCAGGCCTGTAGGATTGCATGTCCTGGGTACAGGGTTCTGGAAGCAGCCTACTTCCTCAGGGAATGTAAGTCTGCAAGGAGGTGTAGTTAATATATGATGTAAATAGTCCCCTGAGATCTTGCAAGTGTTGGTTAGCTAAGTATTTCTTGCTTCAAGTGCTTTTTACTTTTGGCAGTATTCTTATTCTTACTGAATCCTGGTGGCACTGACAAAATTCACTGAGTACTTGAATAGTAGATGACTCTTTAGGGATTAACTAATTTAGTCTAGATATTACAGATTTTGCTCTGTTACAGCAGAACTACTGAAACCTCAATGCCTCTTGCAGGAGCATCTAGCCAGGGGGCTGAATGGGATGGCACTCTGTAAGACCGACCAGCAAGTATCTGTTCTGTACTTCCTGGTGTGGCCGGCCCAAGCAGAAGTTTCCAAAGTTACTTAAGAAGTATCACTGAAAACTGAAAACCTGTCCTTTCCCTAAGGAATTTAAAAGCCCTTTAGGAAGATAAAATTGAGACACAAAAGTAAGCTATTAACATCACAAAAAGGGAGATAATCAGGTATTATGTTTCTCTTAATAAATGAACAAAACACTATTTATTAAATAGGTCTTGCTAAAAAAAATTGAACCTGAATCTGCTTGAGCCTTCTAGATGCTTTGTAAGAAATACAGTGGACAGAGGAACATGTTAAATGACATTATATGTAACCAGTAAAATGTGTCTGAACTGGAAAATTCTGTAGAATGAATCGTCCAATTTTCCACAAGTAAATTGCAAAGTAAAAAAAGGCAAGCACAAGAGAGAACTTAAACTAATTTAAAGAAACTTCAGAGACATATCAGACAATTACAGTGTGGGCTGTTTTCAGTCCTGAATCAGATTAGTGGGTGAGGGTCCTTTTTAATCAGGGAAATTTTAATTCTGAATAGATAATGTTAAATTTTTTTCAGTGGGATAGTGGTTTTGTGATTTTGTTAATGAAAGACTTTTAGAGATAAATATTTGCATGTTGAAATATATGATGTCTTGTATTCACTCAAAATAATTTGGGGGGTGGTGAGAGAGGAAGGTAAAGCTGTAGTTGAAACAAGTGGCCATGAGTTAATTGTTTAAGCTAGATGATGCTTATTGGCTGAGCGGGTAACCTTGTGCAAGTTACTTAATCTCACCAGTTTTCTCATTTGTAAGATGAGGGTTATGTTACAATCGAACACCACTGTTTGACCGACCCTTGGCATATAGGATGAATTTTCTTTGAAAGCTGCAACATAGAGTTAATTATTAAAGCCTTGTGTCGTAGTACATTCATTGAGTGCAAAGTCATGTAGTGGAAAAGATCACGATTAAACATGAGGGTTCAAAATCTGAATTTGGCATTTAGTTGAATGCTCTGAGCCTCAGTTCCCTCATCTGTTAAATGGAGGTCATTATATACTTTGTAGAGTGGTAAAAAATTGAGAATAATATCTTAATGTACATGACATAGTGTGTGTAAATCAGTGCAGTGCTTCGTTCATAGTAGTTACTCAGTTAAATGGTTATTACTGTTATATTCTTTGTATGTAATCATACATATATAATCATCAACCTAGATAACAGACCGTTGAGGACAACAGCAACCCTGCCTAATTCTTCTTTGTTGATAATTCCTTCTCTTTTTCTCCCCGTTAGTTGATTTATGAAGACTGTATGGATCTGATTGCAAAGCTACCTTGTGTTGCAGCAAAGATCTACCGGAATCTGTACCGGGAGGGCAGCAGTATTGGGGCCATTGACTCTAAACTGGACTGGTCCTACAATTTCACCAACATGTTAGGCTATACTGATGCTCAGTTCACTGAGCTCATGCGCTTGTACCTCACCATCCACAGGTGAGCTAACCCAGCAACCATAGCCACCAGTTGCCTGGATTGGTGGGAAGTTAGAAGAAAAGCTGCTTAACATTCTCATCTTCTGGGAATAAGTGGTAGGCAGCAAGGAGATGAAAATACAGCATAAGGGATCATACAAGGCACAAAAGGGGACCAGTAAAGAAAGTCAGAAGATCTAGGGAAATTCCTATAACCACACCAAGAACAAGACAGTGCTTCTAGCTTGGAAAAGGCACCGGCTGCCCACATTTAAGTGGTTCTTTGGCCTTCCAGGAGCTCCTTCTTCTGGCCATTGTTCTTAGAGCTAGAGTGAGTCAGGGAGCTTGGCACACAGGCCATAATCCCTCCAGCCCTGTGGATTAGAATGAAAGCTGGTAATGAGATTGGGTTCTCTCTCATAAGAGCTTTTGTAACTGACCAGCTATAGGCTGGTGTGAGTCCATAACTAAGCTAGTATGTGACAGAGGAGAAAATACAAGGGCTGTTTCCATAACCGGCCCCTTTCTTTTCTTCTTTCTTTTGGCCTTGATTCTCTTTTCTTACTTCACACAGTGACCATGAAGGCGGCAATGTAAGTGCCCATACCAGCCATCTAGTGGGCAGTGCCCTTTCAGACCCCTACCTGTCCTTTGCAGCAGCCATGAATGGGCTGGCAGGGCCCCTACATGGACTGGCAAATCAGGTGAGACTATCTTTTTTCCTGCTCCACCTGTTTCTTTCTGCCATTCTTTGTTTCTGATCTTGGCGCTCTCTCCTGATGTAGGTATTGACGCTCTTTTTTTCCCCAAACCTTACCCATAGGAAGTGCTTGTTTGGCTGACACAGCTACAGAAGGAAGTTGGCAAAGATGTGTCAGATGAGAAATTACAAGACTACATCTGGAACACACTCAACTCAGGACGGGTAAGTAGAGATGCTGGCAACTAGGAAAGAAACCAAAGTCCGCGTTCTGTAATTTGGAAGAATTAGGAAGAAAGAGGCCCCCAAATTAGAGCTGTTTATTTGTCTCCTCTGAAAAATTTAGAAAAGATGAGAATCTGTACCTTGATACTATAACTGCCTTTTTTACCCTCACTCTTTGTAGGTTGTCCCGGGCTATGGCCATGCAGTACTGAGGAAGACTGATCCACGATACACCTGTCAGCGGGAGTTTGCTCTGAAACACCTGCCTCATGACTCCCTATTTAAGCTGGTGGCTCAGCTGTACAAGATTGTGCCCAGTGTTCTCTTAGAGCAAGGCAAGGCCAAGAATCCTTGGCCCAATGTAGATGCTCACAGTGGGGTGCTGCTCCAGGTGAGTCCTCCCTTCCCTGCTTTCCCTTTAATTTGTGCCAAACCCTATTGTGTCTGCCATGCAGACAACTCCCAGGAAGAACAGGGCTCTACTCCTTTCTTACCCTTTGGATAAGCTGCCTGTGCAGCAGGGGGTGCAGGCAGGAGGACTCTCTCTTCATATCCCAGCTGTTACACTTTCTTGGTGTCATGTCTTAAAGGCTGACTGGGTTAATGTTTTTAACACTCGGACTTGTGCATGCCACTGCCTCTGGTCCATGGATGTAACTTTTCTCCTTTGCCTTGCAGCACTACGGCATGACGGAGATGAATTACTACACAGTCCTGTTTGGGGTGTCTCGGGCACTGGGTGTGCTGGCACAGCTTATCTGGAGCCGAGCCCTAGGCTTCCCTCTAGAGAGGCCCAAGTCCATGAGCACAGATGGTCTGATGAAGTTTGTGGACTCTAAGTCAGGATAAAACTGGAGACCAGGGGTAAACTACAGACAGTGAGGGAACTGTAAAAAAAAAAAAGTATACTTTTGTTCTGGGGGCTTTTAAAGACTTAAGATTAAATTCTATCTGAGGCACTGAAAGTAAGTTTGAGGTTAAAATATAAATTAAGACTTTAAAAGATGAAGAGTAACCCCTTCTTCCCTACCCAGCTCCATTCCCTTGCCTGGTATGAGTTGTCCAATCAACTGTAGGATGACCAGAACTGATGCATGTGGTATGGGCTAGGCCAGCCCCCACTACCATCTGTAGAGTGAGAACCTGGCTCCTCTTTCCCAGAGACAAAGCTGGTTGCAGAGAAGCTGCAGCACCTGAGAGCTTTCAGTTCTACTCTGCCCAGCCCAAGATTCTGCCCCTTCTGTTTTTGTAGGAATCATGTTGGACAGTCAGCTGTACCAAGCCCCATTGCCCCCTCCCACGCTGACACCTTCTAACACAACCTGTTGGTTAGCTGGATATGCTTGGGCTTTTTTTTTATGCTACCAGGTGACTATAAAGCCATGGTATTTGTTGTGACTGGTACCCAGTGTTTTTTATTTCTCTTTGTAAAATTATCCCATGAAAATTAAGACCTGGGAGTGTTCTGTTCTCCAGGACTATAATGCCCACCTCCTTCTGGATTTTCTGTATCTGCTGTACCTTAAGCTGAGGGTGCTCTGGACCTTTCCCTGTTGGCTCTACTAAGTCCTCTTCCAGCAGGCTGTATATACCAGTTTGATCTGTGGTCTTTCCCAGTCATTTGGCTCTTATCAGTGCTTAATGTAAACTAAGCCTTCTATTTCCACAAAACTGATCTTTTCTCCCATTTATTTTAATGTGTTGGGGGCCATAGAATAGCGACTTGGAAATGACAGCATATTTTCGTGGTCTGGTTCCAGGGGTACTAGCACCTCTTTCTGGGCAGGGAAATGACTATAGGTTGGACATGGTCTCCTTTGAGTATCAGGTCCTGGGGCTGAGGGCATTAAAAATAGTAGGCCTTCCTCTTCATCCCCTGCAACAAGAAAATACTCCTTTATTTATTAGGGTCCTTATACAGCCCCCTTCCCCAAGTGTTTGTTTTATAAGCCCCATTGCACAGGTTTCCAGTGACTCAGAATGCTCTCCTGCCTTTTCTTTGAGAAAGGATTGAAATACACTCCTGTTGTACCATCTTCTTCCCTTGAAACTCCTGCCTGTGTTTGTGTGGATCCCTAATCCCCAGAACCATGCTGTTGAGATGGACACACTGTAAACCCCTGGGTAACTGTCAAGTCGTGATGCAGACTTCAGGTTGTTCTGTATAAAACACAAAATAAATGTTTTTATTAACAGTGGTTGAGCCTGCTATTAAATAAGGCCTGTAAGAACTTGTTACAAGGTAAGGAGTCAGGCCAGTGAGAATCCTGGACTTAGTGGGCTATAAGTTACCTTGTGCATCCCTTTATCTTTAGGCAAGTTTGGCATTCATTTGCCCTAATCAGAAGACAGGCCTCCTTTGAGAGTTCCAAAGGAAATTTCTGTCTTTCCTTAAGGTTAGAGTCCTTGACCTTTAGCCCCCAATCCTTCCTTATTGGTTGTAACACTCAAGGACTATAGCTGAGACTGCACAATGCTTAGGAGACTAATCAAAGGAAATTAGTTCAGCCCACTGAGTGAAAGAACAAACTTAACCAAGGACAAACAGGAGAGAACTGCTAGTTCAGGATCTGAGCCACCAGAGGGTTCTGGTACTTTGTGGACTGTCTGTTCTTTGCAACTTTTCTTAAGGATGCCCCCAAAATAAGAGGTGGTCCTCCTGAGGGCATCAGTTATATGGGAGGTCTGAGACCAGATTATTCAGTCCTGAGACTCCCGCTGCAACTGACCTTCTGAAAAAAGTCTATAAATAGGTAAGAGAGTGGGTACTAGGTCCTGGCTTGTAGAATGTGCTACTATAGTTAGCAGGGACATTGTGTCCAGGAGGCCTTCTTGAACCTTCACTCTCCTAGGGAAGGAAGCCATGACTTTCTTCTCTGCTATATCAACATTACCCCAAGAAACAACATAAAAAAGCCAAATTCACACTGTCACAATTTATTGAAATTTTAGAAAAACTCAGGCCAAGTGGAAGAGTTAGGTCCAACCCTAAAGTACAGCTCTGTTGGGTGCTTTTTTTTTCCCCTTGCCCCTGCAGCACTGATGGTAAGAAAGTCTTGCTCTCCACTAGCCAGGCAGCATGGAAATAATTACTCTTCAAGTGAGGTCACATGGATCTCAAGATGGGGCCAGATCTCAGGCAGGTAAGTTACTGACCACCCACTATCTGTCAGGAAAAAGCTTAATTTATTCAGTCCTTAGGAAAGCTGCTATCTTCCCCTTCTCAGATACTAAGGCACCTTGACGGGGCCCACAAACAACTGCAGTCCAGATTGTAATTCACTATAAGACAGCTGCAGTATCAAGTATATGGAGCTCTGAAGATGAGCCCGACCCTTCCCTCAGCATCTCTTTTCTATACCCACTACTTTTTATCTCCCCCAGCATTTCCAGCCAGCTTAGAGTCCAATTTCTGGGGAAGTGAGAGGGAAAACAGTATTATGAACACAGACTCTTCTCTCAAATTGGAGCAAGAGGCAAATGAAATAAATAGGAGAATTGGAGGGAGAGAAGAGAAGAGGCTAGGGAACATCCTTTGCCTCAAGTCTGGTGCACCTCATGGAACATCAGTTCACGGGGGATGGCTGTTTCTGGACCAAACTTGGTGGCTGCCCGGCGCTCGAAGGCAGCAACATTCTGTTTGACAACCTCATCAAAAAACATGGTGGCCAGCTGGGAGTGCAGCAGAGAACGAAATTCAAAAGAAATCTGGGAATGGGTAAGAGACAGAAACTCTTCAAGACCCATGTTGGATAGTCCTTGGCCAAATGCAAGAATACTCAGTGTCTTTTCTTGATTCCCCCCTCCAGTTTTTTGGGATACCCTAAAAACCCTAGTGTAGGACTGAGCACAGAGTACAAGACCGATACAAGGTGGTGGGAGTCATTGACTTGGGAAACGCTGAGTGACAAAGAATGACTACGTCAGCTGTGCCCCAACACCCACTTGTAACCCTGCTACATAGCCTCCTGACTCACCGAAAAGTCCACAGTGCAAGTTCGAGGGTAGGCAGGAATACCAGGACTGAATCGCCAAATGGTCTCTAAGTGGTTGAAGAGCTTGCCATCAGTGCAAACAGCCTAGAATAGGGCAGTTGAGTAAACAATATTACAACAGAATAAAAGCCACTCTAGGTATACGAGGCTATAGGAAGAAATTGAGAGCCATTTTCCTTTTATTTCATCAGGGAAGTTACAACACATGGGAATACATTCATTACCAGGAAAGACAAAATGGCCCTTAAATGTAAAAATGCTAGAGAACACAACAAACTCATCAGTCCCTCCCAGACAGGCCTCACCTTGACCATGTGAGGTTTGACCATGGAAACAGCAGAGGTATAACGTTCCATGACAGGTGGAAAGCCAACCTCCAACTGGGCCTTCAGGTGACCTTTGCGGCTGGATACCACCAATGACTTCTTACACCAGGGCACAAACTCACGGTACTCCTGCACATTGGACACCACCTCGTACATCTCCTGCATCGAGTACCTAGGGCACGGAATCAGAGAGGCCAAAGAACTGCCAGCTGAGTCAGCTTCCTCCTTGCCCTAGGTGCCCTCCCTGCTAACTATGCACCTCTAGGAACTAGAGGTCCCAAAGAAGCCTGTGTGAATGGTTTCCCCAAATCAAAGGAGCAAATTTCCATGATGCTGACATTACCTTGTTTTGCAGTTTATAGAATGTTTTTGCATTTATTATTTTGATCCTAAGAGGGGCCATCTGGGGAGAACAGGCTGTCAATTTTACTGGTGTTCACAGGACTCAGATCCCAGCTCCACAACTAACAATGTAGCCCTAGGTAAATTAACCTGTGCCTCCATTTTTCTCATCTGTAAATAGTGGTACCAATAGTACCTGATTGATAGGTTTGCTGTGAGGATCAGATGACAGAATCTATGTAAAACACCTAAGCAGTCTAGTGCTAGCAGTAGCAAGGGCTCCATAAGTTCCCTATTGTGCTCAGGATACATAAAATTGTCAGGTCAGCAGAGATACTCTACCCTGTTCTGCCATATTGTCCAACCCTAGCCACCTGTCACTTAATCTTCATACAAAGCAATCAAGAGCAAGAAGGAAAGTAAAGTTGGAGGGTGGCAGGGAAGAAGAAAAGATCAGTAACATGGCAGGCAAGAGGGGTGGCCAGTAATGAATTTTGCCCACCATCGCTATCCTTCCATTCTTGCCTGGACGTGATCATTTTATTTGAAAGGGAAGGAAATGTGGAGGGATGGTGGACTCGGGAGGACGCTCACCCCATGATCCTACGCTCGGAGTACGCCTTTCGTTTGTTGGTGAAGGGGGCAGCAAAGCCCATGAAGGAACGACTGGGAGATAAGCCAGCCTCGGCAGCGAAGATCCGGGCAGTCCGGGTCCAAAGGAGGCTGCAGGAGATCCTAAGTCTAAGGCCAGAAGCAAAGGCGAGACAACGTCATGACCCTTTGTGGTCCTCAACCGCTGCCGCGTAAAGGCGAAGAGGGGCTCATCCCCAGGGTAGGTTGTGCAGACAAGCTTGTGCACACCCAGGCACCTGCTGCTCCTCAGGCTTTCTGGCCAGGGAGTCACAAGTGCGAAAGGTCGAGGGCGACTGAGGACAGAGCCGGGGGAGGAGACAGGGCAAAGCGGGGGTGCGTGCGAACCGCCAGCTGCCTCTGGCTGGGGGCTAACTACTGCCGAGAGCTGGGCCTCCCGGAAGCCTCGGAGTCTGCGGGGCGTCGCCAAGCCCGTCGCTGCCCCGGCGCTCGGGACGACAAGCGTTGGCTGGGCACCCAGCCCGGGGCCTCGCCCTCGCGAATTACGTGCGGAAGCGCTCCGTGAGCCCTGCTTTCGTGCCCCGCAGCCGCAAGCGCGGAGCGGCGCCCCAAGCCTGCACGTGGCGCTCTGGGGTCCCGTGTAACCCCCTTTTCTGCGCCGATGCCCGTGCTCCCTCTCACCTCATTGGTCGCGGCAGCCGCGGCGGGCCCGGGGGCGGAGCCGGGCGGAGCAGGAGGCCGCGGCAGCGCTGGACCGCCGCGCGCGTCCCGACCGGGAGTCGCCGCGCGCCCGCAGAGGCCATGCGGGCGGCCCTCGCGTCCTCTGTTCGTGCCGGCTACGCCCTTCTCGCCCGGGAGACGGAGCGCGGGGAGCAGGGGCGGCGCGGGGCTGAGGCTACCTGCTACCGCCCGGCGGCCAGGGAGGTTGGAACTGAGGCAGCCCCCGCGGCTGCCAGTACTCACGTCACGCCGTGGCTCAGGTCGGGCAGGGGAGGCAGCGCGGCGCAGCCTGTCGGGAGATGTAGTCCGGCTCTGCGAGCGCGGCCACGGGCTGCGCGAGACCGACCCGAGCATGCGTGCCGGCAGCATATCTGCGGGTCTTCTGCACGTCTTTCTTAGACCCTTTGTTATATTCTGCCTTCTTAATAGAAGTTTTGCTCATCGTCATGGCCTCCATAGTACCGATTTAACTTTCCACAAAAATCCTTCATAAGGTAGGTTGGTTGCTAGGATCGTAGGGCACCATGGGGAATATAGCCAGTGATTCTGTAACATCTTCCTATGTTGACGGATAGTAACTGCAACTAATGGGGTGAGGGTTTAATAATATGGGTAACTATTGAGCCACTGTTGTATATTTGAAACCAATATAATATCGTATATCAACGATACTTCAATAAAAATTAATTTTTTTTTTAGATAACGCATTTTTTTTTTGAGAGGGCATCTCTCATATTTATTGATCAAATGGTTGTTAACAACAATAAAATTCAGTATAGGGGGGTCAATGCTCAATGTACAATCATTAATCCATCTCAAGCCTAATTCTCGTCAGTCTCCAATCTTCTGAAGCATAACGAACAAGTTCTTACATGGTGAACGAATTCTTACAGAGTGAATAAATTCTTACATGGTGAACAGTACAAGGGCATTCATCACAGAAACTTTCGGTTTTGATCATGCAATATGACCTATAAACCATCAGGTCAAATATGAATATTCATTTGATTTTTGTACTTGATTTATATGTTGATCCCACATTTCTCCTATTATTATTATTATTTTTATTTTTAATAAAATGCTGAAGTGGTAGGTAGATGCAAGATAAAGGTAGAAAACATAGTTTAGTGCTGTAAGAAGGCAAATGTAGATGATCAGATGATCAGGTGTGTGCCTATGGACTAAGTATTAATCCAGGCTAGACAAGGGCAGCAAGACATCCACGGATGCAGAAGATTTCTCTCAAAGCAGGGGGGGTGAGGTTCTGAGCCTCACCTCTGTTGATCCCCAAATTCTCACCTGATGGCCCCCCTGCGACTGTGCCTGTCTTAGGTTGTTCCTCCCTTGAGGAATCTTACCCGTCTCTGGCTAACCAGTCATCTTCCGGGGCCATACAGGGAAATGTAAAGTTGGTAAGTGAGAGAGAAGCCATATTGTTTGCAAAGGTTAGCTTTTTACTTCTTTGCAGATTTATGCCCTGTGGCTTCTATGCCCAGCACTTGTCTCGAGGTATCTTTACCACCTGGAGGAATTATGATACTCGGTAAATTCGATATGAGGCACGAATTCTATTTAAGGGTTGTAATTAGGAAGGAAGAAGAAAAGCTATAGATGTAGCATATGAAGGAAACTTGGGAGGATTGATTATTTCTTTGACATATCTTCTTGTATAGTACCTTAAGTATGTATAGGTTTTAAACTACTAACTAATTTGCACACACATATTAACATAATAGGAATACGGTGACATAAACAAAGCAAATCTATAATTACCAGCCATCTCCAGTGAAGCCAAGAAAACCATTTAGGCACCCTAGGCATTTGTGAAAATTTATCTATGATATGATGGATATTTTCCAACTGTACTTGAACCATCAGACAAATTAAAGCAGCCCATTTCTGGGATCTGTTCACATCCCATATGTTCTTTTAACCATAGATAGTCTATAGTCATGAGATTTTGGGGTGCTACAACTTGCACCCCTCCCAACTCCTGGTTGAGTTCCAACAGTACAGATCCAGTCAAATTCGTTGTCTCACTGTATGCACATGCCAGCCTAGACATCTCCCTCCTCCTTCTTATGGCAAGTCCAGGAGACGGTGGGCTGGATGCAGCCACAACCGCAGCATCGTCCGGATCCCTGTGGAGGCTTTTTGATGATCATCCCCCGGCACGAGTCCTCCAGAGAGTGCTGATGCCGGAAGCTCCTCCTCATATCGTATCTTAGTTCATTTTCTGGGTATCCAAGCTAGGCCTTGATCTTCTGCGTAGAAACAAACAGACCCTTTGCCCACACTTTGACATGCCCTCTATACCACTGTGCAGAACTCATTGGAGGTCAGCACACAGTAACTGCTTTTTTTTTTTTTTTTAATTAAGAGAAAGGAATATTATCAGAAAAGAGTACCTCCATAGCTGATCATCTGACACCCTTTAAGTGATCAACATTAAGGATATTTAAAGCATGCGTTGATCTTTGATTTACCAATAGTTTTATCCTGTTAAGGAGTAATCCCCCTTTTCTTTCTTTCTTTCTTTTTTTTTTTTAAATTTTTAATCTACACTTACCTGAAGAATACTATGTTTACTATGCTCTCCCCTATATCAGGTCCCCCCTAACAACCACATTACGGTTACTGTCCATCAGCTTAGCAAAATGTTGTAGAATCACTACTTGTCCTCTCTGTGTTGTGCAGCCCACCCTCCCCTTTCTCCCTCCCCCCCATGCATGCTAATCTTAATACCCCCCTTCTTCTTCCCCCCCCTTATCCCTCCCTGCCCACCCATCCTCCCCAGTTCCTTTCCCTTTGGTACCTGTTAGTCCATTTTTGGGTTCTGTAATTCTGCTGCTGTTTTGTTCCTTCAGTTTTTCCTTTGTTCCTATACTCCTCAGATGAGTGAAATCATTTGGTATTTCTCTTTCTCCGCTTGGCTTATTTCACTGAGCATAATACTCTCCAGCTCCATCCATGTTGCTGCAAATGGTTGGATTTTTCCACTTCTTATGGCTGAGTAGTATTCCATTGTGTATATGTACCACATCTTCTTTATCCATTCACCTACCGATGGACATTTAGGTTGCTTCCAATTCTTGGCTATTGTAAATAGTGCTGCGATAAACATAGGGGTGCATCTGTCTTTCTCAAACTTGATTGCAACGCATTTTTAATCAAAAGAATTTTAAAAGAAAATTCAAAACGCCAAGTTCTTTACTGGTGCAGGCGAGGGATAAGGAACAAGAAAGGTATTTCAGTCTTCAGGAGTGATTATTTGAAACAGACACCGTGAAACACATTTTGGGGCTAAATTTAGGAGCTTACTTGAAAAAAATATTTTTAATGAAAACAGTCAACATTTAACCTTGTACTAATACATAATTTCACAATAACAGGACACAAATGGAGTAATTTAGCATCAGTAACAGATTGAGTAACTACTCAGTTATCCTTTGAAGGCTTTGAAAGGCATGGGAACTAGCTCTTCACTTGGTGAGCATATAGGAGCAGTGAAGGATTTAAGAGTCTCCCTAGAGTCTTTATGAAACAAACACCTATTAATCATGTTCATCATTTCTTCCCATCTCTTAATTTCTTTCTAAACTCCTTGTCTCTCATCAGTAGTAAAATGTCAGTTGAAAATTTTCCAGTTACTTGATTTACATGAGGGATATTTTACAGGGCAAAGTTGTGTAAATGTTAATACAGCAATACCCAAATTCATTATGTTTATTACACATATATTTTATAACTTTACATAACATTGATTAATTCTCTAATAGAATTTGAGTTAGTAATTGTAAGCATACTCTAGTTTCAAAACAAAGCATTAATGCTTAAGCATAGATTTTTAAATGTTACTATTATTTTTTTTTGAGAGGGCATCTCTCATATTTATTGATCAAATGGTTGTTAACAGTTAACAACAATAAAATTCTGTACAGGGGACTCAATGAACAATCATTAATCCACCCCAAGTCTAATTCTCATCAGTCTCGGATCTTCTGAAGCACAACGAACAAGTTCTTACATGGTGTTCAAATTCTTACATAGTAAGTAAGTTCTTACATGGTGAATAGTACAAGGGCAGTCGTCACAGAAACTTTCGGTTTTGATCACGCATTATGAACTATAAACAATCAGGTCAAATATGAATATTCGTTTGATTTTTATACTTGATTTATATGTGAATCCCACATTTCTCCCTTATTATTATCATTATCATTATTATTTTTTAAAAAATGCTGAAGTGGTAGGTAGATGCAAGATAAAGGTAGAAAACATAGTTTAGTCCTATAAGAAAGCAAATGTAGATGATCAGGTGTGTGCCTATAAGCTAATAAAAAACAATTTTAAAAAATCAGAATCTTTACCCTACTTGAATGCACAACAAAAAAAGAGAAATTAACGTTCCAAACTCTGGTCTGAGACTTTGCATAGTGTTCTCTTTTGATATTTATAGAAAGAAATCGGGGTGGAAAGAACTACAGTTAGTTTTAAGGGAGAGAACCATCTTTGTCTGGAAAAGTGTGCATTAGGTGACAGGTGAGACTTCGTAGGCAGGAACCCATGGAACAAAATGTAATTCTACTGCTTTTTTTTTTGCTATCATTAATGTACAATTACATGAGCAACATTATGGTTACTAGACTCCCCCATTATTAAGTTCCCACCACATACCCCATTACAGTCACTGTCCATCAGCGCAGTAAGATGCTATAGAATCACTACTTGTCTTCTCTGTGTTACATTCTACTGCTTTTTATCATGATACAAGGAGAAAAAAATTCTCCTGATAAAAATGGGGAGAAAAAGAGAGGAGAAAGAAATCATCAGTTAAAGACTGGATCTAGGTAGTTACAAGAGCCATTAAAATATTCCCACAGTGGGCCTGCTCTCTCACCTGGGAACCTGGCTGTGTCACAGATCCTCTCCTCTCCGGATTCCTCTTATGTTGAGCCAGCAGAGGGGACTCACCGGAGGCCTGGGAAAAGCAGGAGTAAGCTTGAGTACTGCTCCCCTGTGGAGAACTGAAGATGCAAAGACCACAGAGAACCAAGCAAAGCCTCTTTATTATTCCTCTTCCAGCCTCAGCTTTGAGTTTCCAGCTGAGCATAGGAGTGAAAAGTGGCAACAGAAGTAAGAAATCAAGTACTAAAATAGGGAGAATTATTAAAAACAGCCATGTCAGAGCACTGGAAAACACCAAAGGCAAGGAGCAGAATTGCTTACCCATGGAAAACTGTTACTCAACTGTGAGGCAGTGCTCTTCTTACCAGGTACCATTCCAATCCCATCCAGCTCACACTGCAAAAACCCAGAGCTTTATTTGTCAGAGTCAGTAGACTCAGTTCAGGGGAGGCAAGAGAGCTGCTAAAATTTTAACTGGAAGACTTGAAGTGAAAGAAATTTAGAAGTGCTGAGATAATAAACTCCTCAAACATCCCTAGATAACTTCTATACTAAGCAGGAATGCACGAGACCTCCAGAGAGCCTAGCAAATACTAATAGCCTGAAGAAATCGGTGAATGTGTTGTACCTCTGAATGCATTCTTCAACTCCTAACAGCTTGGGTAGATAGAGGATATAAAAGAATTGAAAAGCACTATCAAACAACTTGACTTAATTGACATCTATAGAACACTCCCCCAAACAACCACAGAAAACACATTCTTCTCAAGGGCATATAGAATATTCACCAAGAAAAAATATATGCTGGCAATAAACAAGTCTCAATATGTTTAAAGCATTGAAATCATACAGAGTATGTTTTCAAACCAAAATGGGATTTAATTAGAAATCAATCACAGAAAGAGATCTCAGAAAACTCCACATGTGTGGAACCTTAACAACATACTTCCAAATCACCTATGATTTAAAGAAGATAGCATGAGGAAAATTAGGAAAAATTTTAAACTGAATGAATCAAAATGAAAACACATCAAAATTTGTAAAATGTACAGCTAAGGCAGTGTCTAAAGGAAAGTTTACAATACTAAACATCTATGTGAAATAGAAGGCTTCAAATCAATTTTCAAAGGTTGTACTTCAGGAAGCTAAAGAAGAGAAAGAAGATGAAATTAAACCCTAATTAACTTAAAGGAAAGGAATAATAAATTTCAGAAAGGAAATCAGCAAAAGAAAAAACAAAAGTATGCTTCAGAAGATTGGAGACTGTTGAGAGTTGGGCTTGGGGTTGATTAATGATTGTGCATTGAGTCCCCTATACAGAATTTTATTGTTATTAACAACCATTTGATCAATAAATACAAGAGATGCCCTCTCAAAAAAAATAAAATAAAATAAAGTAAAAGAAAAAAAAGAAAAAACAAAAGCAATAGAGAAAAACAATGAAACTAAAGGCTGGATTTTTTAAATAATAAAATGAATAAACATTTAGCTAGACTGAGCAAAAAAAAGACTAAAATTAGCAATAACTGGAGTGAGAAAGGCAAACTCACTACTGACTTTACAGAAATCAAAATGCTTATGAGAATTTTCTGAATAATGTTGCATGAATAAATCTGATGATCTAAATAAAACAGAATCCTTGAAAAAAAATTCTCCCACAGTGGAGACCACAAAAAAAGAAAATTACAAATATCCCTGTGAACATAGATGCAAAAATACTCAACAAAATATTAGCAAACCGAATTCAAAAATATATCAAAAAGATCCTCCACCATGATGAAGTAGGATTTACTCCAGGGATGCAGGAATGGCACAACATTAGAAAATCCATCAACATCATTCACAACATCCACAAAAGAGACAAAAACCACATGATCATCTCCATAGATTTTGAAAAAGCATTTGACAAAATTCAACATCCATTCATGATAAAAACACTCAACAAAATGGGTATAGAGGGCAAGTACCTAAACACAATAAAGGCCATATATGACAAACCCACAATCAACATCATACTTAACAGCAAGAAGCTGAAAGCCTTTTCTTTAAGATTGGGAACAAGACAAGGATGTCCACTCTCTCCACTTTTATTCAACATAGTCCTAGAGTTCCTAGCCACAGCAATTAGACAGCACAAAGAAATAAAGGGCATCCAGATTGGTAAAGAAGAAGTTAAACTGTCACTGTTTGCAGATGACATGATATTGTATGTAAAAAAAAAAACCCTAAAGAATCCATTCCAAAACTACTAGATCTAATAACTGAATTCAACAAAGTTGTAAGATACAAAATTAATACACAGAAATCTGTTACATTCCTATACACTAACAATGAACTAGCAGAAAGAGAAATTAGGAAAACAATTCTATTCACAATTACATCAAAAAGAATGAAATACCTAGGAATAAACCTAACCAGGGTAGTGAAACACTTAAACTCTGAAAACTACAAGACACTCATGAGAGAAATTAAAGAAGAAAGCAATAAATGGAAACACATCCCATACTCATGGATAGGAAGAATTAATATTGTTAAAATGGCCATCCTACCTAAAGCAATCTACAGATTCAATGCAATGCCTATCAAAATACCAGCAGCACTCTTCAATGAGCTAGAGAAAATTGTTCTAAAATTCATACAGAACCACAAAAGACCCCAAATAGCCAAAGAAATCCTGAGAAGAAAGAATAAAGTGGGGGAGATTATGCTCCCCGACTTCAAGCTCTACTACAAAGCTATAGTAATCAAGACAATTTGTTACTGGCACAAAAACAGACCCACAGACCAATGGAACAGAATAGAGAGTCCAGGTATTAACCCAAGCATATATGGTCAATTAATACATGATAAAGGAGCCATGGATATACAATGGGGGAATGACAGCCTCTTCAACAGCTGATGTTGGCAAAACTGGACACCTACATATAAGAGAATGTAACTGGATTACTGTCTAACTCCATACACAAAAGTAAACTCAAATGGATAAAAGACCTGAATGTAAGTCATGAAACCACAAAATTCTTAGAAGAAAACAGGCAAAACTCTTGAATATAAACATGAGCAACTTTTTCATGAACATATCTCCCTGGGCAAGGGAAACAAAAGCAAAAATGAACAAGTTGGACTATATCAAACTAAAAAGCTTCTGTACAGCAAAGGACAAAATCAGTTGAACAAAAAGGCATCCTACATTATGGGAGAATATATTCATAAATGACATACCCAATAAGGGGTTGACATACAAAATATATAAAGAGCTCATGTGCCTCAACAACCAAAAAGCAAATAATCCAATTAAAAAATGGGCAGAGGATCTGAACAGACACTTCTCCAAAGAAAAAATTCAGATGGCCAACAGACACA